ACTATTTTGTGATGATAAACATTTGTATCAGGTCAGCTAAGCATGGGCATAGTAATATTTATTTTTCTACATTTATACATTTTAGGCAACTAAGGCAAAAAATATAATTAATTTAGAAAATCTTTTCAGGACCTCACCTTAATGTTTCAGGACCCCACTTTGGGTCCTGACCCCAACTTTGGGAACCACTGATGTAGAAAGTTTGTAGTGACGTAGACTGTAGGTAGTGATGTAGACGGTTTGTAGTGAAGTAGACTGTATGCAGTGATGCTGACTGTAGTGACGTAAACTGTATGAAGTGATGGTGACTGTAGTGATGTAAACTTTTTGTAGTAATGTATGCTGTATGTAATAATGTAGATTGTTCATAGTGATGTAGACTGTTCGTAGGAGTATAGACTATCTGTAGTGATGTAGATTGTTCATAGGGCCATTGACTGTCTGTAGTGATGTAGAGTGTACATGGTGACATAGACATTATGTAGTAACGTAGACTGTGCATAGTGACATAGACTGTATGTAGTGAAATAGGCCATAWGCAGTACCATTCATAGGGACATACTGTTCATAGTGATATAGACTGCTCATAGGGGTGTAGACTACATGTAGATACGTAGACTGTTTGTAGGGGTATAGAGTGTTTGTAGGAGGGTAGACTCTTTATAGGGATGCTGACTGTATGTAGGGACATAGACTTGTCGTAGTCTAGTAGTCTACTGTATATGTAGATCACAAATAGTGACATAGGTCATATGCATCATTTGTAAATGTCACATTTCTAGTCCTTAATCTTTGTATTTTTATCAAGGTAATTTTCAAACACATTTCATGGTTATTAGTTATTTCACACCTTAAAAGTCATGCAACACACATTACTAATTTGCAGAATCTGGTTCCAAAAATACAAACAGTCCTAAAAATGAGTCCTGCTGCCTGCAACTCAACAACCAGAGAAGGTGGTCTTATACTTTTATGACATGTCGATGATCCAAATGACGCTTTAACTGAATAMAGACAGATCAGTTGATAAATGCTAAATTCCTATTTACCTGTTCATATTTCCATACATTTGCCATAATTAATCAACTTTTGAAGACGTCATGATTTTTATAAACTGACCTACACCTGACCACAACACAAATGAGTGGCGCCAAAACTAAAAGCAGGGGATTAATACTGGAAGAGCAGGGAGAAATGTGTTGCATACCTCCAAAGTCTGGTCTCAGTCGGATGTCATATCCCTTCAGTAGTTTATCCACCGTCTCCTTCACGAAAGACATGTTGCCTGGTTCATTGACGCTGAAATGACAGCAGGAAAAAATAAAATAAAATAAAATAAAAAATGACAGGAAACATTACCTCGGCTCCAGGACAAAAAAAACCCCAAGCAATAACCTTGACTGGCAGAAAGGAAGGAAAAGGACATAAATACCAACCTTTTTGCGCAGCACACAATTGAACCGACCACCAGCGCGGAAAAAACGCGAAACTGACGAACCCTCTCCCCAGAAAACATGATCCCGCTYCCCTTAATTTGATCTAATTAGGATTAATATGAATGGTTTTTTCCCCCTCCACAGTTCTTTGGAGCMACTGGAGCGAAGAGCCTCTCCTTCTCTCCTTGCAATCAACAGTCTTCCCAGGCGCTCCTCATATCCAGAGTAAATCCATGGATGGCTTCACCACACCACACACACGCTCACACACAGCACAACCAGGAGAAAGTCGGCTGAAAAAGTCTGCAGCAGACGGATGAGGCAGATGYAAGACGTAGGCTGACATCGCCAAACCCAGCGGGAATRTGGGGTTCCGCTTGTGAACGAAGCTCTTCCAGTCAGGAGATGGAGCACATATTGATAAGGAGGATGTAGAGATGATGATGATGCTGCTGCTGCTGATGGTGGTGGTGGCGATGAAGGCACTCGGTTAGTTCAAACCACAGATGGAGCCCAGCACTTGTTACACTGTAAAAAATATCCAGCAGTGGCTGCAATATAATCYGAACGTCATAGTGTTGTGGGTCAGACTTGTTATTTCCCATGTGAAATCTAAGGGATTACATAAGAAACCCAAATGATTTGAAGTTTTGCACCTAGAATATATCYCATCAGGGATTAAGTCATATTTGGTCAAACTAAACTGAACTTTTTAAGTTACGTTTTGATACTTGGATCATCCCGATGCCATGCGTGGTCTGGGAAGACCCCTGGAAAAGGGTCTAAGTTAAATTTTTATTATTTTCTGATGAGGATTTCTCGAGGCTGTTTGACAGTAGTAAAAATTCAGGACTTTCCTGCTCAAAATCATTGTTCATCAGAACATTTTTATTTCTTTCTGGGGACCTACAGATAAGATATTTATTCATTATAAAATCCAATTTTTGCATATCTTTCAACCACTCCATTAGCTGCCTGTGTCTCACTATACCATGTTGTGAATTTAGGCTTCTGATCAGGTTTAGACTCTTTTTTGGTTCATCAAATTTGATTTTCTGTCTTTTGGAAGGCAGGTAAAAGATAATGAATGGATGGATGGATGGATGGATGGATGGATGGATGGATGGATGGATGGATGGATGGATGGATGGTTCTGTTCAGTGGTGGACATGGTTCTGCTAATTAGCTATGAGCTAATAGTGGACCAATTAGCTTCCGCTAAACTAAGTTTTGACAACTTTAAATCCACTAGCATCTAACTAACAAACTAAAACCTACAGGTTTGTGTCAGTCCCACCAGTCTCCAGCTGAAAGGAGACAAAGACGTGTGACTAAGACTGAGTGACAATCATCTCAGCAGTTAGCGATTAGCTAGTAATGCTTGATTCTAGTAATTTTTACTTGTTTAGCTGTTAGGCATGAACTTCCACTAATTAATACWTATATTTTTTATTTTTTTTAAACATTAGCATCAGCAAAGCTATATATTTCGGTAGTAGATTATGAGTTATCAAAGCTAACTTTTTGGTTAGCTGTGCCCACCACAGAAAATAATAAATATCTATTACCTAATACCAATTACCTTCTACAGTAATGTTAGTGGTTAGCGACCTGCCAACTTCCACAAATTTTTTTTACTTAACATTTGCTTCTTCTAATTTTTTACATGTTCAAAGTTTAGCGTTGGAAAAGTTTTAGTTAGGAGGTTATGAGTTAGTGAAGATAACTGTTTGTTTAGCTGTGCTCACCACTGATTCTGTTCCTCTCAAGTCTTCCTGCTACCTTCAGTTTATCCCTCCCAGTAGTTTTCCACTGTTTGTCTCTGCTCCTTAGTCCATCCACGCCCAGTCACACCTGTTACTTGTCCACAAAGCTCCTCAACCTGCAGTCAGTCCTCACTGGAGCATTAAATGTGTTTTCACACCAGCTCTGCTTACTGTTGTACATTTTTGAAGCTCTTTGTGTCTTGTGAAGACTTCTTTTGCCTCCCTGTGTTGGTTCTTACATTCCTCTTCAAGTTTTATTGCTCTGACAGACATTTTGTTTAAGTAAAATTTGGTTTATTATTTGGAAGCTCCTTCAGTCTGTTTGTAACTGTGATTCCATTGACCATAAAAATGTGCAAATTAAAATTCCGAAAATAAATTTGCTTAATGGAAGCACGTCAATTTCGAAAAAAAAAAAAACGTGTGTTTTTCAATAAAATGGTTTTGCGTTGGCCCTGTGATGGACTTGCGACCTGTCCAGGGTGTACCCCGCCCCTTGCACTGTGAATGCTGGATATGGGCACCAGTGACCCACGCAACCCTGAAAAGGAAGAAGCATGTACAGAAAATGGATGGATGGTTTTGCGCTAGGATATGGTGGTTTCTATCAAAATTGGTGTATTTCGCAAAACTGCAATGGAAACACTGTTTTCTCATTATGGGAGTCACGTGATCAACAATCGGATGTTTCTACTGGTGAAAAAGACGACAAAGAAAAACAACAAGAAGTAGAAGTAGTAGTAAAATCACCAAAGTAGTCAGAGAAGGTAGTAAACTCACCGACTACAATTTCACAAAAACGCTGCATAAGTAGCCGCTCCCAAGTATAAGGGGCTTGTCACTTGAAAGCCTCGATAAGATGCCAACGTCTCTGATGGCTGATGATGATCACTAGTGCMGTGGTAGCAATATGACTGTCTCATGTCCGTTGCCCCATGTTTGTAATGACTTATCACGAGAACAAGCATACATTCACATGTGATTTTAATAGCGTTTCTTATTTAATGGAAAAACTGCAATTGCGAAACTGTTTTTTCGACATTAACAGGACATCGACAAAGTTTTGCGCACATTTACAATGGAAACACAGCTTGTACTCTAGGTCCAATCTTTTGCCAACTGCGACAGCCTTCTTTGGAATATTTTTATTGAATGACCATTTGAATTCCCATTAGATCTTGGGATTGTATGTGGAACACAAGACTAAAACCGACAGATTACAAGTTTTGTGTGAAACACTAATTGTGTGAATAGAAAACATGTTGATTTTTGTTGTCACTATTGTGTAGTAACCACATGAATCCCCGTGTGAAATCTGTAGGATTACATATGAAACCCATGAGATAAGTTGTGCCCCTATGTGAAACACTTCCTGTACGCATACGAAAAAGTGAATTTGACACTGTTTTTCCTTTGTGAAATCTAAGGGTTTATTATGCAGGATGAATAGAGCCACAGAGCAAAATGTTTTTCTTTCTAAATTCTGACTACTTTTTTCTACTACTTTAACGTGACATCTTTTTTTGCAGTGCATCCAAAATCTTCAGCTCCACTTCCCTTCCCCTGTGTTTCCAATAAAAATGGCGCGAGCTGAGCAGCGTCGTGTGGAGCCTGGCAGCGTTAATCTATTATTCGACGCCCGTGTCTGATCAGCCCGTGAACAGCCCCTTTATTATCTGATCTGAAATGAAGGGGATGTTCCTGTGCTTTTGGGAGAGGGGCGGTCTGTAAATCCATGACTAATTGGGGTGGTGTGGCAATAGGGAGAGCACCCCTCCCACCCCCATGTCCCCTTTATCAACAACAGGAGTGATGCTCTGAGACATACCTGGTGTCATAGATGGCAACCAACTTCTTGTTTCCATCAACAGCATTCCTGAAATGAGATAGTGATGTCATCATTAATTATAGATCAGAGAATAATGTCAATTTGTCACTACCATCTAAATAAACATCCGGAAGCTTTTAGTAAAAAATGAAAAAAAATACTGACTAATATTACGCTGCAAGTTCATATATCCATTATTATTATTATTGTTATTTTTTTTTCTAAGTCATGCATGAATGTGAAACAGTGGAGTGCCTTCAGAGTACATCCTGTCAATTTTCTCTGACGCCCTGCACTCTCCACTACCATCTTCTCCACACACACATAGGCATGCACACACACGCACACACACACACACACACACACGCACTCTTTTCACACACTAGTCAAAGCGTTCATCACTCTTTAGGAGCTGTCCACACCAGACACGCTGCTAAAATCGGACTCCCAAGGGTGCAGGCTTGTGTTTTCGAATGTTTCTTCTCAACGTTTTTCCTCCACAGTCTGCACCTCCAGACGGATTATAGAAAGCAGAGGGAGGTTAAACGCCGCAGACTAATTAGTGTCTATGAAAGGTGGAACTCGGCTACCCTCTTTTGGCAAACGTCAGGATGATAAGTGTATTAAGACCAAATGTCTTCATGTCTTAGTTCAGGTTTAAGTGGACTTTAATATTCATCGGTTTGGAAAGCCGACTTTAAACTCCTGCACATTTCAACGTACTTATTAAATTTTGATGTAAAACAAAATCTTGTTTTAAATCCATACAAGTTCAAACTCACTCATCTCAGTCCAAAAAAGGCTTTTTTGCAAAAAGTTGAAGCAGAGCTACCAAATGTTCATTTTTCTATAATTATTAATAACAACAAGAACAACTAATGCCTGAAAAACATCATAAAACAAAAAGAAACACAGCTTAGGTAGCTCAACGTTGAAACTAAGCCACACAAATTCGGTTTGAACACAGCTACAGAGCTAAAGACAACAACTGTATATGCAAATGCTTACTGCAAGTAATATATAGTTTGATAAAAGTTTAAAAAGTGTTTGGTAGGTTAAAAAATAAATAACGATGTTATTAATCAAATAAAACAGAATGTGAACATTATGTTAACCCAGGGCTGGCGCTAGTCATTTGGGTGCTCTAAGCACAACTGCTTTGTGGTGCCCACCCCCCGAAAATGAAAAAAAAAAATTAATATTTGCCAGTGCACTTCTCTTTATTTCCAAAATAAGTTCTGAATTTTGTTTTGAAAACACAGTTGCAAATACCAGAATATAAAATGTGAATATACAGTAATACACAYAAGAGAACTGTGAGAGGAGAAATTAGAACACTAAAGCATTACCAAAGGCACCAAAAATAAAATAATGTAAATTAGTAAATACTACCACCATTATTAAAAACAGATAAGTGCAATGACTCATAACAAAAGAAAGAAAGTGGTGGTTGTGCATCTGACTTGTTTCTGTAGCTGAACTACTAGTTGATGGTTGTTGGTCAGAGCTGCTGCAGAGTCCACAGATCAGCTGGTTGGTGGCTGAACTGCAGCTGGATGTTGAGCATCTGAATTTTCCCATTGGCCTTCAGCTCCACCTGGCACATATCTCAGCATTGATATACACTCACCGGCCACTTTATTAGGTACACGTGTCCAACTGCTCTTTAACACTTAATTTCTAATCAGCCAATCACATGGCAGCAACTCAGTGCATTTAGGCATGTAGATATGGTCAAGACAATCTCCTGCAGTTCAAACCGAGCATCAGTATGGGGACGAAAGGTGATTTGAGTGCCTTTGAACGTGGCATGGTTGTTGGTGCCAGAAGGGCTGGTCTGAGTATTTCAGAAACTGCTGATCTAC